GAGTGGTAAAGATAGTTTAGACTCTGTCATCGTGATAATGAAGTATTTTTAATGTCAACAGTTGAAACATTAATCATTGGTGATGAAATATAAATAATATCACTTACCTGATTCGCTTGGTTTAATACATCATTCTTCCTTGAAAAAGCAGAACACAATGACTATAAGAGAAATCTGACCACCTTTTATACTAATGATTAAGAATGTTCTGGAAATATATGATTAAGACTCCATATGACGCGTATATATGAATAAGGGATTTTAGTTACGTTCTCTCTGATTCTAGAACATCACATGATTGAATTTAACAAACCTCAGCATTTACCTAGCTCATTTGTTATAGAAATATTAATCTTTTCAGACTACACATACCGTTAAAAAGCTTGGCTATCGCACTATAGATGATATTGATTACGTAACAGATGTTACCAAGTTTAAGGTATTCATGTTATGGGCTAGGATCTGCCTTTCAATTCTATGTAAATCATATGGGGTGGGAGTTTTAGGACAGAGAGAAGGACAGAGGAAAGGGGTAATTTGTATTTGGTAGGAGGTTTTAGGGGATTTAAGAAAGGGTCTTTGGGCTAGATTTCTTACTTTTCTCTACTACTATGATGTCTAAACCAGTCACATTATCCTGACACCAGCCAGACCAGTCCAAACACTAACCGCTTAATGCTGAGGGCCAAGCGAGGCAGCTGTTAGTAGCATTTTTTAAACTCTTTGCTATGACTCGGCCAGGGTTCGAACCTACGACCTTCCCCATCCGAGGAGGATTGAAATGAGAATATTTACCATATTAAATTCGTGTAGAAAATGGAGATTATTTACATGTATTATCGTCACTAATGAGTAACGTGTGGAAATCGAACATTGTTCTGGATGCAACTGCATGCCCTCACGAGAATCACAATTTGATATATCAATAGTATCATATACTGACACTTTAACTGCCATGTTATTTTCAATGTATATATATATATATATATATATATATATATATATATATATATATATATATATATATATATATATATATATATATATATATATATATATATATATATATATATATATATATATATATACACACACACATCACTTAAGTAAGGCATTATCTTAGTATCTAGATTTTTAAGTTATAATTTGATTTATTCTCAATGTGCCGTGTGCGAAAAGGTCAGTTTTGATGGTGGCATATAGGAGAAATTGCCAGGTTACTCATTGACCAGGTAAAAGGTGATGCATATCGTCTGCTAGCGACTTTATCAGGAAATATCTATTGGTTCGCTGTATGATTCGTAAAAGAACCATATAGTCTTTTATTTCTGCACACCTTTGTATGATGAATCGTTGTATCTGCGAATGCGAAATGCTGAATAGCTGTGACACATGCTCTAAATGTTGCAATCCTCATTTAGTTATACTCTTTCAGATAAAGCGCACATAGCACCTTAAACCTGTGAATGATGTAGTTGTAGCTGACCTTACATGAGAACACTTTAAAGGTCTTTAAATCCCCCCCCCCGGGAATAAATTACAGCTCTGCGACCATCCTGGTGCAATGAATAGGAGAGGGGGCATAATGACTTAGATAAGATATCTAAGTAGGATTGTAGGATAGAAAGTCATTTGACAAAAGTCACAGTTCTGATTTTCATAGTTGTTAAAGAGGCTTTATGGCAAAATGTCATAATTCTGATTTCCAGTTATGAAAGAGGTGTAGGATTAAAAACTTACAGAACAAATTTTATTAGAGTTATGAAAAAGACGTAGGTCAACGAGTCATAATATGACGTGTAAGTTTTGAAGTCACTTTACCATACGAATTAGGACAATGTGTTCTATTTGCCTTGTTCAATCTAGTATTCATATAATAATACCGTTTAACCTGCTAAATTCTTATAAAAATAAAAAACACCTCGTCCTACGAACAAAAAAAAAATTAATAACGAAAGACCAGACTTCTGCTTCTAACATGCACGCCCTGGAACCTTGTAAAATTAAAAATTAAAGACAAAAACCATGCCCTCAATTATCCGATTCTTATCAACATTACTGCTTCCTGTAAAACACACTTTCATCAAGAAGTAAACCAAAGTACCAAGTTATTGTCAATACCACCGCAATGTGTCATATTTGATTATTTACTTGTAATTTCAGTGTATTTCTGTCAATCAAAATATTGATCTGTGTTTCAATATGTCTGATAATTATCATCACTAGAGGAAAAAAATGAAAGAAGGAAAAAATGAAGCCGATAAATGTATATTGGTATAATGCAAGTATTAGATAAAGTCAGTAAACACATGAGATAAAACAACGTGATACATTATTGATGTATATATTAAGCTGTGTTTTAGAGATATTTATTCTACTGTATATGTATATGTATATATATATATATATATATATATATATATATATATATATATATATATATATATATATATATATATATATATATATATATATATATATATATATATACATATACATATATGTATGTATATATACATTAGAATTCAACAATAAAGAAATAGATTTAGTTTATTATGTACAAACGTTTTAAGGCGACGTAATAAAAGTAATTACACACCTTGGATCAGCAGGCATGTATCGCATTATACCAGTAATGGATTTTTATAATTTATTTGTCATGGCGATATTGATTTTGCTCCCAGTTCATGCAGTTGTGCAACTAACAAGGAAACTCACTAAGTCATAAAAGGGGACGCACGTGAAACACTTCACTTGTGAGTCAGCCTTTTCCAATAACAAATCCTGTCATAATTTGCTTGAAATTCACTTTTAACTACTGTGTAATCACTCAGTGAATTTGAAGATGCATACAGTGTTGAAATGTATTTGAAGTTCTTACACAATTTTAAATATGTTTGAAAATTTTTGGTTTACACGTACAAGTTATAGCTGTGTTACGCGAATCTGTCTAGACATATTTAAATCAATGTTAAGTGGCATGTGCAATTTACAACCCTTTTGCCTGATCACGTGATATTTACTAGATGTTTTACGTCAAATTTCTGCCATGAAATTGCAAAGCAATTTTTTGTTTCTTCGGTTTCCTATGTTATGACTATAAGCTCTTAAAGTAAGTAACAGAACAGAACGAAACTCATCAAATTTAGTAAAGTTCAATAAGAAGCCTATCCCTCTAGCACACAAAGTGAAAATTGTAAAAGATATTATAAGAGTGTGAATTAAATCTTAAATAGTCATAAATTGTCTAGCACAAGTTCAATAGTATAGAGTATTCAGAATGAATTCTACTAGTGTTCTACATAATTCCAATTTTGAGTGTGTCGATGTACTATTACTGTAGAGTAATTTTGATCTTTTAACAGTTTATATGTATCACAATGATATAATCCAAAATATCTCTAATTAAAGTCACGATTATCCCCCAAATAACCATTAAATCTAGAAAAAATGAGCAATTTTTAATTCTATGGAATAATTTAAATAAACAAATCCTCTCAAATACTGACTAAATCACAACTAAATTTACCACACTAAGATTGATTTCAAGATGTAAACTAAAATAAATTTGTTTACCTGAAACATATATTAAAACCTAAGACACAATATGAAAGTAGAAAATTCTATTCCAGAATAATATAAATGTAAACAACAGCCGTTACTATAACCAAGTAAAAGAACAATGTAAATATTAGGTCAGCCATAAATTTCCGAGGGAGACACAGATATTCTAAACGTAGATCCAAGTAAAATATACTTGCCTACAAGTAATACTTATCTTAATGTATAATCTAGGCAAAGTACTTACTTACTTTTGTTTGAACGAGAAGATTTGAAACAGTTAAGATTCGTTCTAACATATGTTTACACATATTTTGTTCCGTGTTTTTTATGACCTGTTATTCATTCAAATTCTTTATCTAAATATGTGCATCATTTAGGAGTGATTAAGACATTATTAGGAAGAAGGGTTAAAATGGCAGCTAGTTTAAATTATTTTCTTATTCAACACCAAATAATGCGTTGAGATCCAATTAATCTCTCTTTGCTATTGAGTCAATGTTAATAAATCTGTTGATATCATTTCTAAAAAAAGCCGCTGTCAAATTGCTGCGGCTAGAATTTCTCTATATAGTAAAGATTCTATACCGTTTTCACCATTTGACTGGCCTAAATAAAAGACCATCCGTAAGATATTAGCATATATCAAGAAAGTTCATTTTTGTTACCATAAAAGGAGATAGGTATTTACTCCCCACCCCGCTCCCACAAAACACTCATCATCTTTTAGGACGGTGTTTCGAGTATTGCCATCTATTCCTTTGTCGGTATATATGGTATTTTCAGATAATTTCATTTTGAAACGAATACATACATTTATATAAATATAAATTTTTAGCATTTTAGAACTGTAAAGGACAGGTAAGATAAAAGCATGTTACTGCTGTAATAAAATACGCTTGTCTCTGCATATGAAAGAGACTGAAATTTACGTCAGAACTTTACATTAGTGATCTTGTTGTCATTCGTATTTAACAGAAAAGATCATTTATTAATGACTCAAAACATTATGATAGTATTAACATGTTTATAGTTTACTATCACCCTATATATATATATATATATATATATATATATATATATATATAAATATATATATATATATATATATATATATATATATATATATATATATATACAGATCATCAAATCACTGCATTCTTTACTCTTTATTGGGAAGATGCATGTAAAAAGTTTTGTATGTGTGGCTTAGATTTTTAACGTAGCTTTAACAATTTTTCAGTCATATCGGCACGATGTCTGCAGTGTGACAGTTTATAGTGATGTCTAGCGCTGGGGCATCATGCTGCAGACATGAAGCATGATGTCCCACCCAGTCACATTATTCTGACACCAGGCTAACCAGTCTTAACACTAACCTCTTAATGCTGAGCGCCAAGCGAGGCAGCTGTTAGTACCATTTTTTAAAGTCTTTGCTATGACGCAGCCTGGGTTCGTACTCAGGACCTCCCACATTCGAGGCGGACGCTCTAACCACTAGTCCACCGGAGCGGTTTAAAAAGTTTTAGTGTGTCTAATAATATCTCACTATTCTGATCTATGGTTGCTGTAAAACATTTTTGACTTCTTTTTACGTATGATAAAATAATCAGCAAGAAAATAAGCTAGGATAATTAATATTAAAGAACATAGTAATCGCAATAAAAACCTAACATACATACATACATACATACATACATACATACATACATACATACATACATACATACATACATACATACATACATACATACATACATACCTACCTACCTACCTACCTACCTACCTACCTACCTACCTACCTACCTACCTACCTACCTACCTACCTACCTACATACATACATACATACATACATACATACATACATACATACATACATACATACATACATACATACATACATACATACATACATACATACAAGTTTTTAATTTGTATCTATTTGACCCGAGGTGACATTGATTAAGGCACTGCAATTATGACCGTAGAAGCGCGGGTTCCATTCTCAGCATCGTGTTAGTTTTGGATCTGCTAGGGTTTGTTTTTTGGACGTGTCTGTGGACAAAACGTTTTACTCTGCATGCTTCAACGCAATATAACATTCAAACTGTATCTTAGATGAATCACACACATGCATGGCATTAAAAATAGTGTTGAAAATGCAGCTCATGCAAAGCTTGTCCCCCTTTTTGCTATCTGTACCACATTGTAAGATTATGCTTTATGAAATTAGTTGGTTTAAAATGTCAAACAAATATGTGAATGAAATTTCAGCTTAACTGATTGTGATTGAACTTTGTCATTCGTGTATTTGCATGTGAATATATTTGTTTACCGAAGCAAAATGTTTTGGGATTTGTTTTACGAAATAATGAGAAATATATTAAATATTTCCGGTAATAAGCCTCGTTAAGCTAATTCCTCATATTAATTTCTAACATGCTAAAACTAAAATTATCAGTCAATCCTGTATCTCGTAACATATTGGAGTACAAATATTTACAAAATTGGCTTATTTTAAATGGCCTCTGAATTGTACCTCCTCGAAACATAAATACAATTTTCGTGTTTTATTTATGTTTTGGGGGTAACTTTCTAAATCTTACATTATTAGGTAGTGGTTGTGTATTGCTGCCAGGCTTTTTCACTTAGGCGTATTTTTGCCACCGACCAAGTTGCCATACGTTTGGTGTATGTCAATAAATATAACCCGATATGCAATATAATTAAACTACGGCTGAATAGATAAATTCCTATTACTATTTGTCATTGTAAAGAAATATATAATTGTTTATTAAATTTTGTTTGCCTTCTTGTACAATGTTTTCTTGAAAGGACTACCTTAATTTGAAATGTGGAATGACATCTTAAGTCTTTATATAGGAGCTAAAAGTACCGTCTTACTTCAAAGAGTGTCATGAAATGACTACCGCTCTTTGTGAGAAAGCATCATGGACTAAATTGTGTTATATAATGTGACGGGCCTTCATCAATGCATTATATGTGACAAATATGGAACATTTGAATTCCTTTTTATTGAAGCCATTGACTTTTAAATAATCGATTTTATGATCTTTTCGTATTCGTGTTGAATGTGAATCCACGAGCATTACGATGCGGCACTATCAGGATCATTGCATATCAGCAAGGGCATTTCGTGTACAACTTAAAGAGACTCAGACATTTGCTGACTCGTATACGATCATTGTACGAATGCTACGCTCATCTGTACTTTGTAACCACACAAAATCGAGCTAACATTTCAATATATCGGCCAGTATGGCAGTTCCTAAATTTTACTTCCAATGCACAAACTGTGATATTCTATTGAGCTTTGATTAGATGAATACTGTATTTAATTCGTGCTTTCCGACAGTATTCCTTATCCTTCAAAAACTATTCACGTACATTTACTTCAAGAAGAACAAAGTTTTACTATACTTAATTGACAATGCCTGGCCTATTCAATAATTATATTTTTCTGATGAGAAACTGTAATATTCGTGTTGATAAAAAGCAAATACGTAGACAAACGAAACAAGGAAAGTTTTTTTTCTTAAGTAGCAGAGAGGAAGAACTAACTTATTAAGGGAAATATACACCTGAACGTTGGTCTAAAATGTGGTGCCAGTTGCAGATCCATTATCGTGTAAACAATAAATGGAGAACCCATACAATAAATTATTCACGTAGAAAATCGTTTCCCATATGCTCATAGAATATTTTGAATCTTTAATTTATGGTTATTTCACCTTCAGTCAGTTATGGTTGTGTCACAAACAAGCCTGCTGTAAAGGTTACAGGTCGCTAGATGTTCCAACACAATCATGAATAATTTTACCTCAATATTCATTAGATTATTTAGGGGCAAATTTGTCATATTAGAACAAAGTAGGTAGACAGTCATTTAAAGAAGACATTCTCTCTTTATATATATATATATATATATATATATATATATATATATATATATATATATATATATATATATATATATATATATATATATTATAGATAGATAGATAGATAGATAGTTAGATAGATAGATAGATAGATAGATAGATAGATAGATAGATAGATAGATAGATAGATAGATAGTTAGTTAGTTAGTTAGTTAGTTAGTTAGTTAGTTAGTTAGTTAGTTAGTTAGTTAGTTAGTTAGATAGATAGATAGATAGATAGATAGATAGATAGATAGATAGATAGATAGATAGATAGATAGATAGATAGATAGATAGATAGATAGATAGATAGATAGTTAGTTAGTTAGTTAGTTAGTTAGTTAGTTAGTTAGTTAGTTAGTTAGTTAGTTAGTTAGTTAGTTAGATAGATAGATAGATAGATAGATAGATAGATAGTTAGTTAGTTAGTTAGTTAGTTAGTTAGTTAGTTAGTTAGTTAGTTAGTTAGTTAGTTAGTTAGTTAGTTAGTTAGATAGATAGATAGATAGATAGATAGATAGATAGATAGATAGATAGATAGATAGATAGATAGATAGATAGATAGATAGATAGATAGATAGATAGATAGATAGATAGATAGATAGTTTATTTTGCATTTTATTTGCGATGTAAGCTGTCCGGATATACTAAAAATTATACAATAGTATGTCTATAATCTGACTCATCGGGATCTATATATTTCATTCGAATTATCAGTAGACCGAACGATTTAACTTTAGTCGAAAATTAGAAGCACGAATGAAAGTATTTGGATTAAATCGGTCATATAATCATAAGTCTGTTATTTATGTTACTTGCTGAGTACATAGAACAATTTTAAGAACGAAAACACTAAATATAGTAAAATAGTTAAGATGCTTTAATTAAAGTCTTAACTTCATATAAGTTTTAGGGTTGCTCGTCACATTTGTTGAATATTATCTTGCATAGTCCTAATTGGAATATATGTAGCTTTTATTACTTTGCACATGATTGTAGATTCTTGGTATTATTTTGGAAGCTACGCATTGCATTGATACATTTTCATCTATAAACATTGACTATATTTTAAGATAATTATGTTTGTAGGTAAACAGACTTACTTGGCATTGAGTTGAAAACATTCTTTTTCCCCTCAAGGATTAATTGTTTACTTGATGCTTGGTATATTCTTTACTAACATATTTGTAAAATGCCTGACCATATGTACAATTTTGATTGCTCTGGAAATTATTTATCTTTCTCATCTCGATACTCTGATTTTGTATCAAATTTTATTTTGAGGTTGCTTACGTCAGCATTATATTTATTCCTATTTCAATAGCTGAAGCGTAATCAGTCGTTTTAGCGGTCTTCAGTTTTCACTTGAGAATTATTTTTTTTTAACTTTTTCATATCAATTACAAAACACTCTTTTACTATTGCTGGGATTATTATGAATTAATTCAAGGACGTTGTGGATTATATCATTTTATCATGGGCACATTTAACATTATTGACACAGCATCCTATCCAAGATTGAAATTTATTCGAGCCATCATTGGAGCAGAATCGGAATTTACTACTTTTGGACTTGTGATAAAATATTAGGATAGTTTGTTTGGGATTTAATTCACATTATGTAAATTCATCTTCAAATTGTACTTTCTTTTATAGGGCAATAAATTATTTGTTCAACTTCACAAACTTGATTTTTGCCATTTTATGTTGGTTTAAGACTATAGAATCCTAACAGTGTCATACTAGGCGAATGTTTTGTTTATTGGCATGGTTTCTCTCAGAATTAACATCATCTGAGGGACCCGCTGAAACTTAATTTAAACGGTTTTATCTGTTCATGTTTCCTCCATTTGTATGTGGAGCTTGTGTCACTTTGTTTTTACGAAATTTTGATTTTATTAATTTTAAGTTCGGGTATGTTGTTGTTGATGTTGCTCTAGGGTTTAGCGCCTCTTTTCAGGACAAAATAGGCTATACATGGCGGCTATTAATGGTATTAATGGTGGAGGAAGAACCTTGAAAAGCCCCAAAAGAACCGCCGACCCATGAGAACTACTAGCAGGCTTTCTCACTTAACCACGTTAGCCGAGTATGGACTGGAACTCACGAAGACTGAGGTGAGATGGCAGTGATCTGTAATGGTCAGTGAAACTTTGCGGACACGATGTTTCCGACAAAATGGATCACCGTGTGGCACTATATGGCATAATGGGATTTTGTATAGGAACAAGAGAAATTGCACAGGTGGCATGTCGTCATGGTACTGGACATTTGCAATACATTCTCTTTATATATATATATATATATATATATATATATATATATATATATATATATATATATATATATATATATATATATATATATATATATATATATATATATATATATATATATGTAATATGTATGTATGTATATATGAAAAAAGAAAATTAAAATCTTTTCGGGGCATAGGAAGTGACCCTGACATGGACAATATTTTGTTATGTTAACACCATTCCGTTAACATACAGGACATCGCATAGATCTTCTTATCTTCCTAAAATTTATTAAATCTTGTCTCAGACTTT